TGGGAGCTTCGAGACCGCCTGGGGGCGCCTGCGAGCGTGCCGGGAGCGCCTGCGAGCGCCTGGGAGCGTGCCCGCGCGCTGTTCCGGAGCCGCTTCCGCTCGCGTCGGCTCGCTCGGAGCAACGGATATGGTTGGCGCGCCCATCAGGCGCTCGCGCAAGCTTGCGCCGGGCTCGCTTACATCGTTCGGCATGGTATCGTTTCATTGTCTTTCGCAATGGCACCATTCGAGCTTGCTCAATACGTGGTGTTTTTCGTCTTAGGGTTTAGGGTTTAGGGTTTAGGGTTTAGGGTTTAGGGTTTAGGGTTTAGGGTTTAGGGTTTAGGGTTTAGGGCCTGCATGGGCGCATGCGCGCGCTGGCTGCGATCCCCCCCACATCAAGGTTGTTGGGGGGGATCGCTGCCCAAGCCGCGCGCGCTATGAACTTGCACTCCCGCCCCAGACCACCCACAGTAAAGCCCTTTAGGGTTTAGGGTTTCTCCCCCCAACCCCCCTATCAAGGGGGGCTTTCGTGTTGTGTGCGAATGCGAATATTCCGCGGGGAGCACGACGACGCGGTTTTGGCATTGCGTTCTTGGTACGCGCGCAAAGCGCTTTGCGCAGGCGCAAGAGCCAGCGTCGTCGCATGGCCAACAATCTTTGCCGTGGGTTTAGCTGCATTCGGCTGGCTCCCAGTTGGCGCATGGCTTTGCCGAAGGACGGATTCTTCTCCTGCGGGTGTTCATTGCAATCAGAAGGCGCAGGAGAGGCCTCAAGGCCAGGCGTCGCCGCATGAGGTTTTGAATTACGGCGTTGGCCTGTCGCAGACGCAGCATTGCCCCTGGTTCCAGTGGGCCTCCTGCATTTGCTTTTGCCGTTGGCCTGGCTGCCCTTGCAGCCGCCGTCGTAGACGGCTGCCGCTGGCGCAGCACATCCACAGGGGTCCGCATGCGCCTTCGGCGTTGGAAAGCAGCACTGCGATGGCGCTGGCGCGGCAATCCCATAAGCCCCCGATGGCCTCGAGCGAGTAGCCGCGCCATCGGGCTCCTCGCTGACGGCGACGCGCACGGCAGTTGCACTCGCCCGCGGCTTTGGGTTTTGCTTCGAGGTCGCCCCCGCTGAAGCGCTTGCAATCATCCGCAGACGCTGTCGACGCGAGCTTCGGAAGGCGGGAGGAGGAGCGCGAGGAGGTGGGTCTGGCACCCCGCTCGCTACGATGCGCGCGCATGGCTGCGGCAGCACGTCCATGGCAGACCCCTTGGAATGCCTTGGGGGAGCTCTCTGGGAGCGCTGGGGGAGCGCCTCGACCTTTCCCCAGGATGGAAGCACGTGGGAGCGTCTGGGAGCGTGACAGGACACGCAGAGTGCACCGCGATTGCGAGCCGTGAATTGTCCGTTGGGTTCGACCGTTGGCATCGCCCCCGCTGAAGCGATTGCAGTGTCGACGCAGCCGCCTTCGGCGCGAATTTCGCATGGCTGGAGGGGGAGCGCGAGGGGGTGGGTCTGGCACCCCCTCGCTACGATGCGCGCGCATGGCTGCGGCAGCACCTGCATGGCGGGGGAGCGCCGGGAAGCGCTGCCAGGGAGCGCTGCCGAGTGCTTGCGAATGCATGCGAACGCTTGGGAGCGCCATGGGACCGCTCGGACTGCTGAAACGCGCTTGGGAGCGCCAGGGAACGCTTGGGAGCACCTGTGGGAGCTTGGGAGCGCCTGGGAGCAGTGGGAGCGTGCTGGGAGCGTGCTGGGAGCGTGCCGGGAGCGCCTGGGAGCGCGCCGGAGCGCCTCGGAGTGCTTGGGAGCGCCCCGGAGCGCTCGGAGGCGCCAGGGAGCGCTTGGGAGCGCGCAGGGAGCGCCTGAGCATGCTCGAGCGCCTGGGAGCGTGCCGGGAGCGCTTGGGATACCTGGGAGCGCTTGGGAGCGCTTGGGAGCGCCTGGGAGCATGCTGGGAGCGCCAGGATGCGCCTGGGAGCGTGCCGGGAGCGCCTGGGAGCGCCTGGGAGCGCCTAGGAGCGCCTGAGAGCGCCTGGGAGCGCCTAGGAGCGCCTGGGAGCGCTTGGGAGCGCCCGGGAGCACCTGGGAACGCCTGGGAACGCCCTGGGAACGCCTGGGAGCGCCTGGGAGCGTCTAGGAACGCTTGGGAGCGCCTGGGAGCGCCTAGGAGCGCTTGCGAGCGCCTGGGAGCGCTTAGGAGCACTTGGGAGCGCCTGGGAGCGCCTGGGAGCGCTTGGGAGCGCCTGGGACGTGCACCAGCCGAAAGGACGCCACATGCTGCATTTTCATATGGTTTGCGGCCCCATGGACGGCCGAAAGGGCGCTGCATGCTGTATTTTCATAGGTTTGGAGCCCCAGGGGATGGCACCAACCGTAGCGAAGCCTACGGCTGAGCTTTGGGTTAAGGGTTCTTTCTCTTCTCAGATGCACACCCACGGGGATGCATACCCGCGGGATGCGAATCCTCCTCAGCGGCTATCGCCGCTTCGTCGGTGCGGCGTGCGCGCATGGGCGGACTCGCTGATCGCTCGGCCAGGCGCCACGGGCTTCTGACGATGCACCGCCCGTGGCTTGCAGTTTAGGGTTTAGGGTTTAGGGTTTAGGGTTTAGGGTTTAGGGCTTCTCTTAGCGCAGCGGCCGACAGTCCAGGCAATGCTGCCCCCCCTTCGGCAAGCTTGATTGGGGGGGCGGTTAGCCGACCCGAGCAAGCTTGGCGAAGGGAGCAGGAGAAGGGAGCCAGGAGCAAATGCAACATCTTCCCACCCCCGGCCGCATGGCCGGCGACCTCCCAAACTAAAGCCTTTTAGGGTTTAGGGCCGTTGGCCCCTAAATTCCCAAATGCGTTCCAAGCGCTCCCAGGCGCTCCCTGGCGCTCCCAGGCGCTCCCATGCGCTCGCAAGCGCTCCCAGGCGCTCCCAGGCGCTCCCAGGCGCTTCCAGGCGCTTCCTGCGCTCCCAGGCGCTCCCAGGCGCTCCAGGAGCTCCCAGGCGCTCCCAGGCGCGCCCGGGCGCTCCCAGGCGCTCCCCGGCGCTCCCCGGCGCTCCCCGGCGCTCCCCGGCGCTCCCCAGCGCTCCGAGGCGCTCCCAGGCGTTCCCAGCGCTCCCGGGCGCTCCCAAGCTCTTTCATGCGGTCCCAAGCGCTCCCAAGCGCTCCCAGGAGCTCCCAGGCGCTCCCAGGCGCGCCCGAGCGTTCCCGCTCCCAGGCGCTCCCAGGCGCTCCCAGGCGCTCCCAGGCGCTCCCAGGCGCTCCCAAGTGCGCCCAGAAGCGACTAGAGCGTTCCACATGTGTTTTTACGTGTCGGAGGGGAACTAGGGCAGGTGTGAAGCGCCAAAGTCTCTGGGTTTAGGGTGTTATATTCTTCGAAGATCAAGGGGAAGTTTATCTTTGAATCGCGATTCCCCGAAGGGGGCAGCCTACGGCTGCATGGGCGACCCAGTCTGGCAACCAGCTGACGCTTCTCCGAGATGCCCTGTCGCTCGTAGACGGCGACGGTGATGCGCGGTGGGTGGGCAGAAGCACAACGAGGTGCTTGGGAATTTAGGGTTTAGGGTTTAGGGTTTAGGGTTTAGGGCCTGCAGGGGCGCATGCGCGCGCTGGCTGCGATCCCCCCCACATCAAGGTTGTTGGGGGGGATCGCTGCCCAAGCCGCGCGCGCTATGAACTTGCACTCCCGCCCCAGACCACCCACAGTAAAGCCCTTTAGGGTTTAGGGTTTCTCCCCCCAACCCCCCTATCACGGGGGGCTATCGAAGTGGCGCGCGCAGGCGATCGCCGACGCGGCCGTGGCATTGCGCATCCACGTGGGCACGCGCGCAGGGCTGCCCCTGGCGCAGCATGTCCGTGCGTTGCCGTTTTGCCTTCGGCACTGGGTTGTGACACTGGGGTGCGAATGCTGGGAAGCGCGCGTGCGGTCGCGGCCGTGGCAATGCGCGCCCATGCGGGCACGCGCGCAGGGTGCATGGCGCTCGCGCGTCAGCTCGCCTCGTCGATGAGGCAGCCGTTTGCACCTTCGGCGTGGAGCTTCGCCGGTGGGCGGCCGCTGGCGCAGCAGTTCCACAGGGGTCCGGCATTTGCCTTCGGCATTGGAAAGCAGCACTGCGAAGGCGCTGGCGTGACAATACTATGGGTTCCCCTGCGCCTCAAGCGAGTGGCTGCGCCGTCGGGCTCCTCGCTGACGGCGACGCGCACGGCAGTTGCATTCGCCCGCGGCTTTGGGTTTCGCCTTGGGGGTCGCCCCCGCTGAAGCGATTGCAATCATCGACGCAGACGCTGTCGACGCGAGCTTCGGAAGGCGGGAGGAGGAGCGCGAGGGGGCGGGTCTGGCACCCTCTCGCTGCGATGCGCGCGCATGGCTGCGGCAGCACCTCCACGGCAGACCCCTTGAAATGCTTGGGGAGATTTCTGTGGAAGCCAGGGTCGGCCTCGCCCTTGCGCTCGCTGCGGCCGCGGCCCACGCCCGGCGTGGCGCCGGGCGGCCTCGTGGCGCTCTCTGCGGCCTCGGGGCGCTATCTCCGAGCTATCTTTGAAGGGCGCCACAGACGGCGCCTTCGGCCTCGCTCCCGCGCTCGCTGCGGCCGCGGCCCACGCCCGGCGTGGCGCCTGGCGCTCTCTGGGCGCTATCTCCGAGCTATCTTTGAAGGACGCCACAGACGGCGCCTTCGGCCTCGCCCCCGCGCCCGCTGCTGCCGCGGCCCACGCTCGGCGTGGCGCCTGGCGCTCTCTAGGCGCTATCTCCGAGCTATCTTTGAAGGGCGCCTCAGACGGCGCCTTCGCTGTAGCCTCTGCGCCCGCTGCGGCCGCAACCCACGCCAGGCGTGCCTCGGGCGCTCGTCAGCGCTATCTCCGAGCTATCTTTGAAGGACGCCGCCGTCGGCGCCTTCGCTGTAGCCCTTGCGGCCGCTGCGGCCGCCGCCCACGCCAGGCGTGCCTCGGGCGCTCGTGAGCGCTATCTCCGAGCTATCTTTGAAGAACGCCACAGTCGGCGTCTTCGCTGTAGCCTTTGCGCCCGCTGCGGCCGCCGCCCGCGCCAGGCGTGCCTCGGGCGCTCGTGAGCGCTATCTCCGAGCTATCTTTGAAGGACGCCACAGTCGGCGCCTTGCTCCAGTTCGTGTACGACCTGAACCTCTGGGCGACCCTCGGTGCGAAAAAGAACCTGGGGCTCGACAACGTGCCGATGCGGATGCTCATGAAGGGCCATGCCTTCTCGCCGCTCTATTGGAAGGAGGTGCACAATGCCCTTGTCGACCTCGTACGCCAGGTGGGCTTCCCGAAGCTGTTCTTCACCATTGCGCCGTGGGAGCCATGCTTCAAGTACCACGACTGGCTGCGCGATGAAATGGAGAAGACACTGCGAACCCGCATGTACCTCCCCGTGGGCGAGACGCTGCACATGTCGCACGTGCCCATGCAGATCGTCCGAGGCATGCTGGCGGGCAATAACTCCCAGAATATGGGCGACAGCAGCAAATGCTGGACACAGCACGTGTTCGCCGCGAAAGACGCCGACGGCAAACAGGTTCGCGTCCAGACTTTCACGCGGCTGGAGTTCCAGGACGGCAGCCGCAAGGAGGACACGAAGCGCTACGACGGCTCCGGCCGGCCGCACCTGCACGTTCTGTTCTTCGCGGACGACGACGCCATGGCGAACATGGGATTGGAGCATCACCTCTTTGCGACCAAGCCCGACGGCTTCTCGGACGACCTGAAGGGCTATGTGGACGGATCGCAGCTCAACAAGCACGGCGACGCAGAGAGCAAGTGGCCGATCTACCACGGCCCGTCGGGGGTGCACGGCGACGATGGTGTCCTCCAGCTCAAGCACACCGAGGAGGACCACGACGCGGGCCTCCGAGCGTACTGCGCTGACGTAATGGACGGGCTCCCTTGCCATCAGGACTGGCAGACCAGCGACGGGGAGGCCATGCTCCTGCAATACGTGTCCAAGTATGTGGCGAAGTTCTCGGACAGCAGCTACGACGAGTGGATGAGCGACAAGGCCTCCGCGGACAGCGTGGCCAGGCGCGTCTGCTTCGAGTACCACCCCTACGAGCCAGAGATGATCCTGCAGCTGTGTGGAGCGCAATTCAGACAGTACGACATCTCTACGGTCAGCGGCGGCTTCCGCACCGTGACGGCGCCTTACTCGGGCATGGCGGATGTGCCCGACTGGGTCCAGAGGTATGTTGACTGCTCGTGGCGCCACGAGGGCATGACGCTCTTGGAGTGGCTTCGGAAGACTACTGACGACGGCGCCATCGCTGGATGGCTGAAGCGCAAGCACAAGCAGGAGCTGGTGTTGGCCCTGTACAGGCGGTACCGCGCGACCTTGCCCGAGGGCGAGGAGCCCCAGGCGCTCGACGCTCACTGGCGCTTCCTGCGCGCTGAGTACAAAGGCATGGCCGATGCTGATGGCGGAGGTAGCGGGAACAGTGACAAAGCCTCCGACGCCGAAGACGAGGAGCAGCCGAAGACCTTCGAGGAGTTCCTCGCGAAGAAGCACAGAGACGAAAAGAGCGAGGGCGAGGGCGACTTTCCGAACCTCAAGGAGTTCGCGCGAGCCTACCGCATGCAGGGCGAGAAGGTGGTCAGCGTCGACACGGTATACGAGCTCAACGACCGCTACTACGGCCAGTGGGCTGCAATGAACGTGCCGTTCCGATCGCTCGACGAGCTCGAGTTCGAGGATGTCAATCGCCTGGTTCCGCAGAAATACAAGTATCTCGCGGCGGCGCTGCGACTGTGCTCTGACCAGGGCCGCGTCGCTGAAGAGCACCATGACTTGTTCACCGATGACAGGCGGCTCGTGGACTACATGAGCGCTTCCGCGAAGTCCAGCAAGTTCACCGAGGCTGTGCATCGCATGATCGTGGGGCAGCGGAAGCTGATCAACATGTACCTGACGGGCATCATCGACAAGGCCGACGAGAAGGCCGCGGCCGACGTCGAGGCCGCCGTCATCGGCAACCGCAGGCCAGCGCGCGACGAGGGCCAGGAGGAGGTCGACTTCAACCCGAAGCAGCTGCAGCTGGAGGAGGCGATCAACGAGCGCGTGGACCGCGCGGTGCGGGCAGAGCTGTCGGAGGACTGGGAGGAGGCCGACGAGGCGCGCGAGGAAGCCTACAAGAAGAACACGCCCGTCATCTGCTTAGGAAAGCCTGGAACTGGGAAGACCACCGTGGTAAAGTTTTGCATTCGGCGCGCCCAGGAGCAAGGCGCGCGCGTGCTCTTCGCCCTCCCGACGGCGCAGCTGTCCAGCCGCATGAGAGCCGCGCTGCAAGACCTGGGGGGCCTAACGGTGGACACGTGCCACGCCGCATTCAAGCTGCACGATCCAATCACAGAGAGTCTTCACAGGATGACGGACTTCGACTTGGTGGTGGTTGACGAGGTATCGCTGCTGAGTTGCGAAAGCTTCGAGCGCATCCTGAAGCTCTGGAGCGTCGCGGGGAAAGTCCCCGCGCTGGTCTTCCTCGGAGACAAGCACCAGCTCCCTGGGGTGGAACCGACACGTCCTTGGGAGAGTGCCGCATGGAAGCGGCCGCGCTGCTTCCACGTGAAGCTCACCGAGACCTGGCGGTGCAAGGAGGAACGCTTCCAGGAGATCCTGGACGAGCTCCGGACAGACAAGCCCTCCAAGGAGACGTTCCGCAAGATCGTGCGCGGCCACAAGGCGTGGAAGAGCAGAGGCGACCCCGCGCCCGCCGAAATGAAGAAGCTCTTCGAGAAGCACCCAGACACGCGGATCGTCACCTGCACGCGCAGGGGCGCTGCGGCCGTGAACGAGGCGGCAGTCGCTGCGCTGTACGGCCGCAAGACCCCGCTGGCCAGGCTGGACGGCGACGTGGAACTCAACCCCGAGAACTACCTGGATGGCAAGCTTCGCACTGATCGCCGTCTGGTCCCAAGCAGAGTACCGATTCACAAGGGAATGCAATTGTACCTGACGAAGAACAAGAACAAGGAGGCCGACGAGGTGAATGGCATGCTTTGCGTGGTGGAGAACTACCACGCCGAGGAGGACATGCTGCGCGTGATGACGAAGACGGGCCACCGTCTGGCGATCACTCGCTGGACCGACCGCGAGAAGGGCAATGCGGTCTACTTTCCGATTCGTCTCGGCTACGCCAGCACCATCGACAAGGTGCAGGGCGACGAGTTCCCCCACATCACGATATACCTGGACGGGTGGCCTAGACCAGCAGCGGGATATACAGCGCTCAGCCGCGTTGCAACGTCGGATGATTACTTGATCGGCGGCTTCGTGGAGCGCGACAACTTCATACCCGCGTTCTGAGATTGCCGACGGTGTCCGCGCGTTTGCTGGCGCGCGACCGCTTGCCTCTCGCAGTATCCACGCGGTGCGCCTGCCCCGCTGTCGCGTGCAAAGGCACGAACGTGCGCAGTCCTGCTAGGAAAATGATGGTCTGTCAGTGCCACGTCGGGGAAGGGAAGGAAAGCAGAAGGAAGGGCATACGTAGAGATTGTCTGACGTTCTCGACACCCCTGGAGTTTCGAAACGGCGGGGAGGGGGAGCGCGAGGGGGCGGGTCAGGCGCCCCCTCGTACATGGCCACGGAAGGCGTCGTGTGATGCCCTTCGCGGCGGACTGCGCAGTGCGAGAGGGCGCCGGGCGCGTGCCCCTCGCGCTCCCCCCCGCGAAACCCCGTGGGACTTGAAAAACGAGCTCCTGGAACTCCTCGGGGCTTGCTCTACGAGGGCTTGGGCGAATCACTTGGGTCCGCGGAGCCGTTCGGCGCATCTGCGTCGCTTTTTTTTGTCGCGTCCCGGCTTTCTGCTAGATGCACCAGCAAAGCACCAAAGCATAGCCGAAGAAGCCGCCGGAGGCAGAACGTTCTGCATGGCACACCAAGAAGGCCCAAGGGGCCGCCGTAGGCGTATCTCCACGTGCGTTACGCTCCTCAGCACAGCCAGAGAGGCCGCCGCAGGCGTGTTTTCACGTGTAAGGCAGTCCCTCGTACATGGCCACGGAAGGCGTCGTGTGATGCCCTTCGCGGCGGACTTCGCAGTGCGAAAGGCGCCGGGCGCGTGCCCCTCGCGCTCCCCCCCGTGAAACCCCGTGGGACTTAAAATACGAGCCCCTGGAACTCCTCGGGGCTTGCTCGACGAGGTCTTGGGCGAATCACTTGGGTCCGCGGAGCCGTTCGGCGCATCTGTGTCGCTTTTTTTTTTCGCGTCGCGGTTTCTGCTAGATGCACCAGCAGGGCACCAAAGCATAGCCGAAGAAGCCGCCGCAGGCATAACGTTCTGCATGGCACACCAAGAAGGCCCAAGGGGCCGCCGTAGGCGTATTTCCACGTGCGTTACGCTCCCCAGCACAGCCAGAGAGGCCGCCGCAGGCGTGTTTTCACGTGTAAGGCAGTCCCCAGGGGATGGGACCGACATGGAAGCGCTTGGGAGCGCCAGGGAGCGCCGGGGAGCGCCTGGGAGCTTGCCGGGAGCGCCTGCGAGCGCCTGGGAGCGCCATGCGCCTGGGTGCATTGGGAGCGCTTGGGAACGTGCCGAAAGCGCTGGGGAGCATCTGGGAGCTCCTGGGAGCGCCTGGGAGCGCCTGGGAGCGTCTGGGAACGCTTGGGAGCGCCTGGGAGCGCCTGGGAACGTTGGGGAGCGCCTGGGACCGCTTGGGAGCACCTGAGAGCGCTTGGGAGCGCCTGGAAGCGCTTGGGAGCGCCTGGGACGTGCGCCAGCCGAAAGGACGCCGCATACTGTATTTTCATATGTTTTGCGGCCCCACGGACGGCCGAAAGAGCGCCGCATGCTGTATTTTCATAGGTTTGGAGCCCCAGGGGATGTAGGCGCCCGCTGCGAACCCACTGGCTGCGCCTAGGGTTAAGGGTTCTATTCATCTCTCGGAGCACTCACAAGGCATCCCCGCGGGGGAGCGCATCCTCCTCAGCGCTACGCGCTTCGTCGGTGCGGCGTGCGCGCATGGGCGGACTCGCTGATCGCTCGGCCAGGCGCCACGGGCTTCTGACGATGCACCGCCCGTGGCTTGCTTAGGGTTTAGGGTTTAGGGTTTAGGGTTTAGGGTTTAGGGTTTAGGGTTTAGGGTTTAGGGTTTAGGGTTTAGGGTTTAGGGTTTAGGGTTTAGGGTTTAGGGTTTAGGGTTTAGGGTTTAGGGTTTAGGGTTTAGGGTTTAGGGTTTAGGGTTTAGGGTTTAGGGTTTAGGGTTTAGGGTTTAGGGTTTAGGGTTTAGGGTTTAGGGTTTAGGGTTTAGGGCCTGCATTGGCGCAAGCGCGCGCTGGCTGCGATCCCCCCCACATCAAGGTTGTTGGGGGGGATCGCTGCCCAAGCCGCGCGCGCCACGGTTAGTCGCACTCCCGCCCCAGACCACCCAGAGTGAAGCCTTTTAGGGTTTAGGGTTTCTCCCCCCAACCCCCCTATCACGGGGGGCTGTCGAAGTGGCGCGCGCAGGCGATCGCCGACGCGGCCGTGGCACTGCGCATCCACGTGAGCACGCGCGAAGGGCGCGTGGCGTAGGCGGCGCTTCGGCTCGTTGTCCCTTCGAAGAGGCAGCCGTTGGCGATGGCGGCGATTAGCTTCGCCGTTGGGCTGCCGCTGGCGCAGCATGCCCATGTGTTGTCGCTTTTGCTGTCGGCACTGGGTTGTGACACTGGGCTGCGAATGCTGGGAAGCGCGCGCGGCCGCGGCCGTGGCAATGCGCGCCCATGCGAACGCGCGCGCAGGGTGCATGGCGCTGGCGCGCCAGCTCGCCTCGTCGATGAGGCAGCCGTTTGCGCCTTCTGTGTGGAGCTTCGCCGTTGGGCTGCCGCTGGCGCAGCAGATCCACAGGGGTTCGGCATTTGCCGTCGGCGTTGGAAAGCAGCACTGCAAGGGCGCTGGCGTGACAATTCTATGGGTTCCCCTGCGCCTCAAGCGAGTGGCTGCGCCGTCGGGCTCCTCGCTGACGGCGACGCGCGCGGCAGTTGCATTCGCCCGCGGCTTTGGGTTTCGCCTTTTCCTTAGAATCTGTTCCAGAAGTCTTCGGAAGCCCAGAGAATGCGAGCGGCGGGAGGGGGAGCGCGAGGGGGCGGGTCTGGCGCCCCCTCGCATCGCGAGCGCAACCTTGGAGCCGGGCGGCCGGATTTCCTGAGGAATCGCTCCAGAACGTTTAGAAAAGCCCAGGAGATCCGCGTTCTGAATTTTCAGAAGGTTTGCAGGCTCCAAGAACGCCGAATGCATTATTTGCATACGATTTGCAGCCCCCCCGCGTGGCGCCGCCCGCATGCGTGGCGCCGCTCGCTTGGGAGCAACCGTGAGCGTTCGGAGGCGCCTAGCTGCGCCTTGGAGCGCGCCGGGAGCGCCTGGGAACGCTTGGCAGCGCCTGGGAGCTGCCGGGAGCGCTTGGGAGAGCCTGGGAGCGCTTGGAAGCGCTTGAGAGCGATTCGCAAGGTGCTGGGGGTAGCAGGGAACGCGGGGGAGCGCCTGGGAGCGCCTGTGGGCACTTGGGAGCGCTTGGGAACGCGCCGGGAGCGCCTGGGAGCGTCTGGGAGCGCCTGGGAGCGCCTGGGCGCGCCTCGGAGCACTTCGGAGCACTTGGGATCGCTTGGGAGCGCTTGGGAGCGCTTGGGAGCGCCTGGGGGCGCCTGGGAGCGCCTGGGAGCGCCTGGGAGCGCCTGGGAGCGTTTGGGATGTGTGCCAGCCCTTAGGGGCAGCCGAAGAGGCGCTGCATGCTGTAATTTCATACGTTTGGAGCACCCAGAGAGCACCGCATGCTGTATTTTCATATGTTTGGAGCCCCAGGGGATGTAGCGGATCGTAGGGAAGCCGCAGGCTGCGGCTGAGGGTTAAGGGTTCCTTTTCTTAGGAGAACACCACGAGGATGCACCGCGCGGCGTGCGAATTCCTCCTCAGCGGCTATCGCCGCTTCGTCGGTGCGGCGCACGCTGTATGGGCAGGCTCGCTGAGCGCTCGGCCAGGCGCCACGGGCTTCTGACGATGCACCGCCCGTGGCTTGCAGTTTAGGGTTTAGGGTTTAGGGTTTAGGGTTTAGGGTTTAGGGTTTGGGGTTAGGGTTAGGGGTTAGGGTTAGGGTTAGGGTTAGGGTTTAGGGTTAGGGTTAGGGTTAGGGTTAGGGTTTAGGGTTTAGGGTTAGGGTTAGGGTTTAGTGTTAGGGGTATGGTTTGTGTTGAGGGTTAAGGTTTAGGGTTAGGGTGAGGGTTTAGGGTTAGGGTTCGGGTTCGGGTTTAGGGTTAAGGTTTAGGGTTCAGGGTTTAGGGTCTAGGGTTAGGGTTAAGGTTTAGGGTTAGGTCATAGGGTTTAGGGTTACGGTTAAGGTTTAGGGTTAGGGTTAGGGCTAGAGTTTAGGGTTAGGGTTAGGGTTAAGGATTAGGGTGTAGGGGTTAGGGTTAGGGTTAGGGTTTAGGGTCAGGGTTTAGGGTGTAGGGTTTTGGGGGTTAGGGTTTAGGGTTAGGGTTAGGGTTTAGGGTTAGGGTTTAGAGTTTAGGGCTAGGGTTTAGGGTTTAGGGTCAGGGTTGGGGTTGAGGTTAGGGTTTAGGGTTAGGGTTAGGGTTTAGGGTTTAGGGTGAGGGGTAGGGTTGGGGTTAGGGTGTAGGGTTTTGGGTCAGGGTTGAAGTTGAGGTTAGGGTTTAGGGTTTAGGGTAAGGGTTTAGGGTGAGGGGTGAGGGGTTGGGTTGGGTTAGTGTGTAGGGATAGGGTTGAAAGGGTTAGGGGTTAAGGGTCGGTTTTAGAGAATCTTAGGTGTTAGGCTTAGGCTTAGTGTTAGGGGTTTGGGGTCAGGGTTAGTGGTCTACTGTTTAGGGTGTAGGCTTTCGGGTTAGGGATTGAGGATTAGGGTTCAGGGTTGGGTTAGAAGTTAGGGGTTTCGGGGGGGTTGGGGCGGAGGGTTTAGGGTGGGGTTCCGGAGCCGGGGCGCGAGCCGGGGAAGGGGGGGGGGGGGGACTTCGACCGACGACGGTTCGGAGAGGGGGGGGGGGGGGAGGTGGGGTTCGCGACGACGGCCGGGCAAGGGGGGGGGGTGGGGGGGGGTGGGGGTTCGCGCCGACGGCTCGGGCAGGGGTGGGAGGGGGGGGGGGGGGGTTCGCAGACACGGTCGGGAAGGGGGGGGGGGGGGGGGGGTTCCGGACCCCCCCCCCCCCTTTGGGTGATCCAGCGGCGCGCCCTCCTCAACGTATGCTGCCGTCGTCCCTGTGCCAACTCATGTCTTTTCCTGCCAGTCTTCGAATCCACTTCGCAAGCACTTCATCCAACGCGTCAGTGTACCGTTTGGGGAGTACAAAGGCAGTCAGGCCATTGAGGGCAGCACCGACCAGGAAAG